TGTTGAGAAGTGAGCAAAACCAGTTTCTTCAACATGCTTTATTTCAGATGAAACAAAGTTTTTTTCAAACACGCTCAACTTAAATGGTTCCTCAATTAAGTTGTTGCCTGATTCATACCTTGAAATAAATGAGTATTAAAACTCTTCATTGTTTGTGTGTTACTATTAGAAGAATATGTCCATAACCACTATGAGACTATGACCTATCTTCATCATCATCAACACCAATTAAAGAACCCTTTTTCTTGATAACACACTATGTACTCAGCCAAATCTAATGTTGATAAATATGATGTGTCCTGGTTAATAATAAAACCACTATCATACTAAATAAAAGTCTCATATCAAAATAAGTAATAATCGTTAATAAGTAATAATCGTTAATAAGTAATAATCGTTAATAAGTAATAATCCATGGAATAAACAAGAATAAAGAAGAGAAAAAATAAAAAAAAATAGGGTTCAAAATAATAAATTAAATAAGAGAAAAAAAGAATAATAAAGAAAATAGAAAATAAGAAAAGAAAAAAGATTAATTTTAAGAAAAGATGAAAAGATAAAAAGTGAAAAGATAAAAAGTGAAAAGATGAAAAGATAAAAAAAAACTAGAAAAGAAAGTCAAAAGAATGGCAGATTTAACATATATTTGTAAAAGAAAATTATTAAATAAATTATGGGAAGAACTTCCAAAGAGTTGGAAAATATTAGTTGTTGATAAAGAAGCATTAAAAGTTATTTCATCATTTTGTGGAATGGATGATTTATTAAATGCGGATATTCTTGGTTTGTAATAAAATAAAAAAAAAGAAAAAGAAATTAATTAAAATTAGATGTTAATAATTTGGAAAAGAAAAGAGAAGCATTTATGTGTCCAGCATTATATTTAATATCACCAACAAAAGAATCAGTTGATAGAATTGTTAATGAATTTAAAGATTTAGCACATCCACAATATTCTAGTGGATATGTTGCATGTATTAATGCTATTGATAAAACATTATTTGATGAATTAAAAAGTATACCAAGAATTAAAGACGTTCGAGTAATTCCAATAGATTTTTTAACAATTGAACAAAGAGTATTTTCATTAAATAATGCAAAAGCATTTTATTCATTATATTCAAAAGAAAGTAAAGAAGAAGAAAAAGAAAAAGAAATAGAAAAAATAGGGAAAAGTTTAGCAACATTATTATATTGTTTAAATATTAATCCAGTAATTAGATATATTAATAAACCAAACGAAGAAATAAGTGAAAAAATAGTAGAAGCAGTTCAAAAAGGATATGGAGAATTATCAGGATGTCCAGTTGTAGAAGCATTTAATCCAGCAGAAAAAACAACAAGACATTTAAATTTAATAATTGCAGATAGAATGTTTGATTTAATAACACCATTAGTAACAGAATTTACATATCAAGCAATGGTATATGATTGTATTGAAGTTAAAAAAGATAGTGTAAAAATAGAAAGTAAAAGTGGAACGAAAACAATGGTATTAGATGAGAATGATAAATTTTGGAAAATTATTAGACATCAACATATAGCAAATGCATCACCATATGTTGTTAAAGAATTTAATAAATTTGTTTCAGAACATAAAGGATTAAGTGGAAATAAAACAGCAAAAGATATGAAACAAATGGGAGAAATGATGAAACAATTACCAGAATATATGGATTTAATGAGTAAATTTAGTAATCATATGGAATTAATTACACAATGTTTTAATCAAATGAAAGAATTAAAATTAGATGAATTTGCAACAGGAGAACAAATAATGGCAACAGGAAGTGATGTAGATGGAAAAGAAATTAAAAAAGCACTTCCATATATTACATCAGCAGTAGGAAATATAACATTTCCAATTGATAGAAGACTTAGAGAAGTATTAATATATTTATTTTCACAAGAATATAGTGAAGCAGATAAAAATGCATTAATAGGAACATTAAGAGGAGATGAAAGAATAAAAAAAATTATAGAAAATGCAATAACATTACCAAAAACACAAAGAGAAAAAATTAAAAATAAAAAATCTAAAGATGAAAATGATCAAGAATTTGATTTATCACGTTATATTCCTTTTATTAAAGAAATTGTTCTTAGAATGGCAAATAATGATGTTCCTGATTATTGTATTTTAAATAAACTTGATTTTGCTGGTTTTCCTGTAAATATTGATCAAAAAACTGGTAATATTACTGTTGCTGCTGGAAAATCTTTAAAAAAACAAAAAGCAAAAGAAATTAAACAAGATGGTCAATTAGGTACTACTAAATCTGTTAAATTACTTGAAAAAGATTTATTAGGTTCTGATTCTAATATTTTAGTTATCTTTATTACTGGTGCTATTTCTTATTCAGAAATGAGAGTCGCTTATGAATTATCTGATAAATTAAAAATTAATGTTTTTATTGGAAGTAATTATATTACTACTCAAAATAATTTCGTTAATTTATTACAATCTCTTAATGATCCTCCTAATTCTGATCTTCCTCCTTCTTAATTTTAATTTCTTTTTCTTTTTTTTTTCTTTTTTTTCTTTTTTTTCTTTTTCTTTTTTGTATAAATTAAAAAATATTTTTAAATAAAAATTAATTTAATTTTAATATTATTTGTATTTATTATTCAAGAAAGATTAATCTTATCAATGAATCTTCATCATGTAATTCATCAACATATGTTTTATTATAGTATTAATTTTCATTGATATTTTTCATATTTTTTATTACATAGTTTTTAATTTCTTTTATGATGTTAATTTCATTTTTAATTCTTTTATTATTTTAATACTTTATTCATTTATTATTTAATTTATTGATTGTTATTGTATTTATTTTAATATCTTTTATTTTTCTCTATTTTCATTATTATATCTTTTCTTTATATTTATTTCTTTTATTTAAATATATTCCATTATTATTATGATATACAATAATATTCATATCAAATAATATATTAGTTTTATTCTTTTTATTTATTACATATTCTAATATTTTATAATATTTAATAATTTTGTTTTGATATTTATTTGTTTAATATCATAATAATATCATTGTATTTAAACACTGTTTCATATTGAGTTTTTATATTGATTAATGTATTTTGTTATTATTTAATATGATAATACAAATATTGTCATGTTTTTCAATTTATGATTTTTTATGAATAATACTAGATAATAGAATATATTCTATTGTTGATATCTTGTATTTACAAAGTGGATAGTATTTTATTCATTTTTATTTTATCTTTTCTATACATATTGAATATTAATCTATTTTGTATTTTAATTAAATGAAGAAATTTAATCTTCTTAATATTGATTAAATTCAATTTATTGATTGTTGTTTTTTATATAAATTTTGATTCAATCTATATTCTAAAATATCAATTTATTTTCAATTTATTAATGTATTTGTTTATCATTATTTTATTTATTTTCATTATTATTTCTTTTTATTTTCATTCATTTCTTTTATTATTTGTTCTATTTCTATTTCTTTGATTTTCTGTTTTATTATTTTTTATTTATATTCAATATTTATTTAAATACTATCTATCTAAATATTATTTATTATTTCATTCTTGTATAATAATAAATTACTACTCTAATTATTTCATTATCATATTTATTATTCATATTTATTATTCATTATTTCATTTATATTGATATATAGATTGTCTTTTGAATTACCAACACTAATACATTTTGTATTTATTATTTATTTTATTATTTCAATTTCAATTTTATCTAAATTAACTTGAAATTAATTACTGATATTGAATATCTTCAGATATTGATTAATTCAATTATGATTATTATAATATTTATATTACTACTTTCTTCACATTTTATTTCATCAATTTTATTCATTATCTTTTATTTGATGATTTTATAATTAAATATATCATTAATTTCATTTGAATATCATACATTTCATCTATTTCATTTATTGTGATATTTTCATTTCAAGATTATATTTGATTAATATTCTTTATTTCTTGTTTTATTTTCATTTCTTTATTTAATTTATTATTTATTTAATTTATTTGTTAATTATTCTCATTTATTCATTATTTTGTTTCATCATTCTCATTTATTCATTATATAATATATGATTTATATTATTGAATTGTATTTATTGATTTGATAAATTATATTTATTTTGATAATGAATCATAATGTAAAATTCATCATTTTAATATATTATTTATATTCATTATATTTATATCATATAATTATACTCATCATCTTCATTATATTTTATACATTATCTATGTTGATTCATTCTATATTAAATTATTTTAATATTTTTATTATTTATTCATGATTCGCAGATTTATATAATTTATTAATATCATAACATAAATTTATATATTTGTATATTTCTATTCTTTCTGATTATTTAATATATAAATATTAATTATTTATCATCAAGAAATTATAATTTACATTATAATTGATTTTTATTAATTTTAAATGATTCATTAATCATATTAATTCTATTATGAATATTACCTTTTAATAATGATATAAATATTTTCATAATTATATTTATACAAATGATATGATGATAATTAATAACATCATTCATATCATTTGTTGATTAATATAATTCTTCAATTTACTATATTTAATTTGATGATTTCATTGAAATTTAACTATTCATTAATATATTAAGAATATATTCTCTTGATAATGATGTTCTCTTCATTTAATATAAATATATAATGTCAATTCATGATGATTTCTAGTTATTTATTTTCATCATAATTAAATTTAAATCATCCAATATGATGATGATATTATAATTTCTATATCTTTCATTCTAAATTATGATTTAATTTATTTTCATTTCTTTAAGTTGAATAATGATAGAGTTAAGATATTCATTATCAATATCAATAGTGTTATTTTTCATATTGATGTTTTTTATTATTGAATTACACTCTACTTTACTTTCTATGATTGAGTTCATTTTCATTCTGATATATCTTTTAGTTGATTATTTTATTTTATGTGACTTTTTAATATTATTAATATATTCTTTATCATTATTTACATTAATATTTATTACTTTTATTATATTCTATTTGTTCCCATCTTAATTTCTTATTTAATTTCTTATTTAACAAATTAATTGCAAAACAATACAATATATCAATTAAAATTCTATTTGTTTGATTT